AAGAATATCTACCTACATCACCACAATATGATTATCACACTCAAGAAATTAAATTTTGATACAATGATGCTATCTAAAGTGGAACAAATGTTCAAATTTCTTAAAAAATCCTAAAATAATGTCCTTTTTTATTATTTTTCTGATCCAGGAGTGAATCAAGGATTGACTGTCGTGTCTCTTTAACTGAGACAGCTTCTCCTCTTCTTCTGCTGGTCAGACCCTTTGGAAGAGAACAGGTCAGATGTCTAGCTGGACACCCCCACCTTTTGCATTTGTCCGTCATTGTTTGGGGCACTGCTGCAGACATGTTTACATAKCCAATGAACCGGGTTAAGGAGAGGGCAGGGTTAGTTCATCTCATTATACACAAGTTTGGTAACTTCAGTTCAAGTGGCGTTTGCCCCATGCCTGTCCCAAGGTCCCTTCTGCCTCGGTGGTTCCCACGCATGGCAGAGTGGGAGAAGCCTTGCTGTCCAAGAGCGGTCTGCAGAGCAGCGGCAGCTGTCTCTCCTGGGAACTTGTCAGCAATGCAGCTAGGAAGCCCCTCACCCAGGAGAGCCCAGCCCTCTCTGTTCCCTTCCACTGTGTGGCTGACATGGTGAAGGGACACCAAGCAGGGACAAGGACTCCTGCTGGGCTCGACCTACGCCACTTCAGCAGGCTCCACGACCCTGGGAAACCACATTCCTTCTCAGAAACCTCAGATTCCTTGGTGAAAAAGAAGCAGCGCTCACCTCGGCCCCATCAGCCCTGGCCACCCGGTGAGAGCCCATTTCACAGACAGTGAGAGAGCGTGGACATGTGGTCCGTCTCAGGCTTCACTACTGCCTGGAGATCTGATGGCAGAGGGCTGGGATATCAGCCCCTCACCTGGCTGCTTCACCACTTCCCAGGGAATTGAAAATGTCCCCCAGAAGACAGGCAGGGGGAAGGCCAGAAGTTCACCAAATGAAGAGAAAAATAAAATGAAACTCTTACAAAGGGGAGTGTGCATGGACGCAGGAAGATGGAAGATTAAATACGATTCAAAGGGAGACAGAGGAAGTATTTACTGAAAGCCTACAAAGACGTGCCTGGGTGCTCTACATCCACCTTCTACCCTTGATTACCCTCTATTAAATCCCCATGCTGAGGCCACAGCCAGGCCCTCTGTATTCCAGGACAGCTTCTTGTCCTGTGTCTCACCACCTAGTCTTACCTGCCAGCCCATCTCAGAAAACAATCAGTGGCTATGTCTTGTGATCATTTCCCTTGGTTTGTCAATAGGAGAGTACTCACTCGTGATCACACCCAGCYGGCTGCAAAGAGATGGTCAGGGCAGCCGGGTACCTGTGCAGAGCCTAGCCAGCGACAAGCCAAGATGCAGCCAGTGTCTCTCCAATAACCAGTTAGAAAGGGGCAGTCCCCAAATAGCCCCCAGGACCCACACAGCCTAGATGACTTTCAAGAGAACCCTATTCATAATCAACCAATGAATGCCGAGTGCCTGGTGCTGTGCTAATGACACCAACATACAATCTTTTCTTTAAAACCCTTTCTAGTAGCCCCTCCCTAATGCTAGGCAGTATTATCACCCCCAGCTTCTAGGTCATCCTAGCGAGGTTCCTGCAAGTCACAGAGACTGAAAGTCCAGATGTGAGCTCCAAGCACAGGCATTTCCCTAACGTCAGCATCTCTTTCAGCTGTAGATGGGAAAGCAGGGCTGTGAGTGGCCTCACTGGTTAAAGCTCAGGCTCCCACAGCGCAAGACTCCCAGGGATTGCTCTCCTGATTAAAATCCTGTAATGCTGATTCTGGCTACTTGTTGCTGTTGTGATCATGGCAAAACTGTGCCGGCAAAGTCTTGATTAGCCAGGATCTTAAGAGAATTCCTCCATGCAGCCATGCAGCAAATGCTTACTTAGTACCTACCATGGGCTCCACTGCCTCCCCGGAATTGAGGATGCTAAAAAGAACAGCACAGCCCCCACTCTCCAGGCACTCCCAGCTCAGTGGGRCAGACAAGCAAATGCGTCAATCCAATGTGAATTGTGCAAAAGTCTACAGCTAGCAGGGGGAGGCCAAGCCTAGCCCAGCCTGTGGAGTCAGGGAAAGGCTTCCTGGAGGTGGTGGTGCTAGAGCTGCCAAGGTGAAGGCACATAGCCAGGGCATTCAAGGCAAAGGGAGCAGGGTGGGAGTCTGATTGACTTCCATGTTTTCTGCACTCTATTTTTGGGAAAGAGAAAAAAAAAGAAAAACATGATCTCCTCAAGTGAATCTGGTTCATTAAAAAAAAAAAAAAGAAAAAAGTATGTACTAGACTATGAGCCCATGTTCAGCCCAATTTCCTGGCCTCCTCCTGCCATTAGCCACAGCCCAGAACAGAACAATGGATGCTTCCAGTACAAATTCCAATGCCTTGCAAAATCCTAAATCATCAATGAAAGGTTCAGTTATGTCCACTTGACTGGACTTTGTCTGAAGGTGGAGGGAAGATACAGGATGTACCACTTACCAAGCATGCCTCAACAGCAGGGGTTCAAAGGCGACCCTACCTGAGTTTTCTTGTACAACCCACAATTTAGCAGAATCCACAATTCCAGCAACCACCCATCATATCCCATGCCGTCCCCCATGTCCCCACCATGTGGTTCCCTGGCTTCTCACCAGTCCTGCTTTGATTAGGAACTCCCATTTCCCACCATTTGCATCTTGGTGCTAAGAAGAGGAGGCAGAGCATGGCTAAGGTCCCTGTGTTAACAGCAACATCTAGCAAAATACCCCAAGTCTCCCCACTGTTTGCAGATGGTCAGAACTAGAATGGGGGCCAGCCAGAGCTGACTCACTGCATTCCACCGAGAGCTCCAGGAACATGAGCTGTATGGTCTTAGGTGATTTTATCTCCTGTCTCCATCTATAAGATGGAAATGATAATTACGACCTCATAGAATTGTGTGAGCATAAGGGGAAATAAGTGCATTTTCCTAAATGAATGTGCTGGGCTAGGCATGGTCTTAAATCTTAAATCTTGAGTCCTCTCTGGGAAACTTGAGATTGGGCACTTTTAAATGTGCATCTTGAAAGGATAAGATTGAGGCTGTGACACTAACTGGCCTTAGCCATCCTTTCTGAAGACTGGGCAAGATATAGCCAGGGGACCCTGGCTACAAAAAGTGGGAAAAGAAAGAGGGAGACCAGAAGCTTCGATGGGACCCAAAGATTGGAAGCTAGCCAATATGTACTGCACACTATGTGTAGAAGGACAAGGGGATCTGTTATACTTGTGTATACTCTAATAATTTGTTTTTCTTTTTTACACTATCACACGTTTCAGCATTTGCTTCACTTAAATTTATCTAAAATGTTCCAGAGACAGGTGAATGCACTTTTTAAATCCTTTTTTACCACCTAAAATGAGCAAATGAAAGAGCAATAATTGCTGAGCCTCTCTCCAGCCAGACTGCTACAAACACCTGCAAATACACATACACAGACATCAAAAGCTTGACTTCTCCAAGCCCACAGGATCCCCCACTCTCTCTCCACTGGTTCCTCAGTTTCCAGGGAGGCACCCACCCTGGCTTTGATAACCTCTCTGCAGAAACCTGTTGCTAGGTCTGAGGGCCTGTGTGGATGCCCCACCTGGTGGTCAAATCAGGAAAAGCACTGCAACTAAGGAATATTGACAGAGAAACTAACTCCAACCTTCCCTGAGCCCACACCCTGTAAGTCATGGGTCAACTGAAAGAGACCAGAGAGGAAAGTCCACTGTTTAAGGCATAAGGGGGTGATGGTGTCAAGGTCATGGCCAATTCCCTGCCAAACCCTGGTTGCCATACAGCTTCCTAAAAAGCTAAGCTAAGTCCATACAGCTTCCTAAAAAGCTCAGTTCATAGCTAGAAATGCCCTGGCAGCCCTGGAGAGCATGCTGCCAGTCAGGATTGCCAGTCCTAAATGAAGAACCTCCAATGTCAACCTCTCCCCCTCCCCAAATACAGGCGGATTTTCCATGCTAAGTGCCTGGTGAAGAGGGATTCCATCTTCCTTCTGTCCATGTATTCGCATTTACCTCTTGACAGGCAGGGAAATTCTTTCCAGGGGAGGAGAGAGAGAGAGAGAGGGGGGGGGGAATGTGTGTGTGTGTGTGTGTGTTTGGGGGGAGCCAAAACCTCCAGACCAGATCTCCGACAACCCCAGTGTCTGGGGACAGCCAAAGCAGGAGAGGGGACAGCAGTTGAGGCTTAAGGGATATCAGAACCCAAATCATGGAGATGTTCCAGCCAAAATAATCCCCAGCCCCAACCCCCTCCATTATGCCCCAATACCTGCACACACACACACACACACACACACACACACACACACCTCATATTTCCATAAAAGAAACAGAAAGACATGCATTTGGTCCAGTCCAAGTTCCAAAGAGAGCAACACCAGGTTATTTCCTATACCAGAATGGATCCCTAAGAAGGGCAGCACACACATCCAACACACACTTGTGTGCAATACATGCACACACGCGTATATATACACGCACACACATACAAACACACACACACCACTGTGGGCAGTGTGCACCACTCCCATCCTCAACTCCAGGACCTGTCGTCTAAACTCTGGCGTTCCTAAAAAGAGGGATCCACCCCAAGCAGGAACAGAGCTAATGGGAGGACTGGTTTTACCCTGTTCAACCCCTGGTTAATTAGGGGGGAAAAAGCACATAATTCCTTTAAGCTTCCATACCTACAGCACAGAAGGTGCTATGGCACACACGCCAGTCCTATCTCCAAATTGGCTGGGGAACCACGCTTGGTTCCTCGGAGCCCTGGTGTCCAACACCGGGAAAGCGGCTCACAGACACACAGACAGGCACAACAAACACGCACCCAGGGCAGGCAGGCCCTCATTCAACGGGAGAGCACCTCTAGGTGTTAAAGCCCCAGAGACTTCCTCAGTTCCAGGCCCACCCGAACCCCAACATGCGCAGCCGCCGAGGGGCGCCCGAGCGGCCGGGTACTCACACCAGCGCGTGGTAGAGCAGCGCCCAGCCCCGCGGTCTCTCGAGGGCGTCGTAGATCAAAGTTTGGATGCGCCGGTACTTGGCGTTGTTCCTCTTGACCGGGCGGCTCAGCGGGGTCTTGGCCAGGAGCCCGATGCCCTGCGGGGTCCTCCGCAGCCCCTCGTCGCGGCCACCGCCCTCTAGTAGCAGGGTCCCGTCTTTGTCAGCTCCGGCTCCAAGCGCCAAGGTGACTTGCTCCACGTCTCCGGGCACCAGCCCCACTTTCCGCTCCTCGTCGCCGGCCGCCGCCGCGTCCCCTCCAGCTGGGTTAGCGGCCCCGCCGCCTCCGCCGCCCCCGTCGCCGCCGCCGCCAGCCGCCCCCGCCGCCCTGCGCGCCTTGAGCCCCATCTGCCTCGCCCCCGCCGGCCGCTTCGCCTTCTCCGCTGCTGCTTGGGGAAGAAGGGGCGCTCGGGTTGCGTGGACGAGGCGGCGGCGGCAGCTGCAAGCCCAGGAACTCCAATGCCATGATCCGCGCGCCCCTCCCCACCCACCCCCCCAAAAGCAGGCAAAGGGAGGCCCCCCGGGGGGCACGGGAGGCCGGGTGGGGGGTCAGAAGGTCACATCCCGAGCGGGTCAGTAGCGGGACCCCAAGGGACGCGGGCCGGGTGCTGCGGGGAGCCGGCGAAGGCGCGCGATGCGGACGCGGAGGCGCTAGGGCGCGCAGCAGCGGGAGCCTGGCACCGGCGCTCCGGGGCGGCGGCGGCGGCGGCGGCACCCGAGCCGGCGAGCCCGAGACAGCATCGCAGTTTATTTACAAGCCCGGTGCCAGCCGCCCGCCCTCCCGCCCGCCTGCCACACGCGCCGCCGCCACAGCCTCCTCCCTCCTCCGCGCTCCCACCCGCGCCCCTCCCCGCCTGCTCCAGCCCAGCCCCGCAGCAGCAGCAGCAGCGGCAGAGAGCGCGCAGCGGGCCGAGCGCACGCCGCCAGCCTCCTTCCCAGCCTCGCTCCCGCCTTCCTCCCTCACCGGGGTGGGGCCCCATTGTCCCGCCCCGTCGCGGCAGGAGCCCCGGCGACGCCCCGCCCTCGCCACCGCCCCCCACCCCTGAGCGCCTTGGGGACCCGGGATCTCCTGGGCCCTTGCTCTGGATAATGCCAGGCCGTGCGCTCTGCGGCCGCGGCGCCTGGCTCCTTGCGCTCCCRTGGGCGTTGGGACTTCCCCGGGGCAGGGCGTGTAGAGAGAAAAGGGGAAAAGGAGCAGGAACTGGGAAGGGGTCTCCCTGTCTGCGTTTGCCAGGAGGCTGTAGCTTTACGTTTACTCCCACCTTCCACTGTTTCTTCTTATCTTTGGAGGTAAAATTCAAGTTGCTGAGTTGGCCAAGGCCGAGAGCACAAGTATTAACCCACCTGCTCTATGGGGGCTTCCTATTCCCGGTGGCTCAGGGTTCATGGTGGACACTGCTCTAATCTCCTCTCCCAGTCTTTAAATAGCACCCTCCCTGGTGGATGGGCTGAGGTCGGAAGAAATAGAACAGCGGGAATTGGAACCCTTTGCCTCTAACTTGTGCTGCAGGTGAATCAGTCCCTCTGCCAGAATTTCAGCTCATTCAATGAATCACTAAACCCACATGAATGAATTTGTCTGGCAAAAGGGCACTGCTCCCCGTCCAGGATTAGGAGGTCCCTGCTTTTAGTTTCAGGTCTAGGGGCAGTCAGAAGACCTTAATGTAAAATGTAACATGAACAGAATATTCCCCAGTACCAGTAAATTCTATGCAAAAAAAAAAAAAAAATGGAATTCATACTAGAGTGATTAGGAAACCTGCTTCAGGTTGGCTGATCCTTAGCCTCATCGAAGAGGCCACATTTTGAGGTGAGACCCAAATGGCAAAGGCAGGGGCCAAGGTGTGGGGCACAGGGGATGCACTCTGGGGCTTGTGGAGGCCAGAGGGGGCCAAGGACAATCAGCGGCTGCGGAGCTCTCATCAGCCCTTGGCAGAGGTCAAGGAGCACCTGCAATTTTCACATCATCCCAAGGGTAGAGAAACCCTCCATTCCTGCTGACCAAGGGGCTCCTTGGTACCTCCTTTACTCCTCCCAAATAGCTGCTGGCTGGAGGGGAAAGGAGGGCTGCGAGCAAGGCCAAGGTCTTAGCCCTTSTTCCAAGAAAAGAACAATCAGAAGGTCTTCCTGGAGGAGCTGGCCAAGGAGCAAAGAGAAGAGTAGGGGAGGGTGAGGAGTGTAGGGGAAGGGGACACAGGACAGGACCACCACCTGTACAGGACTGCCAAAAGACAAACCTCAGAAGTCTCCAAGAAGAAAAGAATTTCCAAAAGAAGTTAAGTCATAAAACTGAGATCATTAAGACAGTAGTATTGGCACAAAAATACACCGCTTGTTGCAACAGAATAATATTTGCCCAGAAACTGACTTAATAGAAGAATCTAATATAAAGTAGGAACATGACTGTCCTCCAACGGAGAAAGATTATTCGTCGATTCCTGGGCTGCGGTATGGGTTTTGTGAGGATTCAAGGAAGAGCACATGGAAATGTGACCAGCCCTGTGTTCCATGCACAGTAGGCTCTGCATACCTGTTTATGAATAGATTAATGATCCACAGTAATAAGTAGCCAGTGGGCGCAAATTGGAAAGGAGGAAGAGCCCAGGGAGAGGGATTTGCCTGGGTTAGAAAACCTTGAAATGTGAGCTGAACAGCCCCAAGCTTGTTCCCGCCCACATGTTGATCCTGGCACCTACAACACACCAAACACACCCAAGGGGTCATCGGTAGAAATTCTATCCCACTGTAGTATTAAGGCTGGACACTTAATTCAACTATGCTGTTTATAGGTGCAGCTTGCAGCTTTGGGAGGAGAGTAGGATTACATAGGTCATCCAGGCAGGACCCCTGATTGAATATTGGTGGCCTTAGAAGAAGAGGGAGAGGAACCAGAATACACACACGCTCCCTGTGCTCTCAGTAGTTATTTACAGCTGTGTTAGTCAGCTTTCTGTCCCTGTGACAAAGTACCTGAGATAATCAACTTAAAAGGAGAAAAGATTTATTCAGACTCAGAGCTTCAGAAGTTTCAATTCACGATCCCTTGGCTCTTTTGCAGGGGCGGCCTGTGTGAAGCAGAACATCACGGCAGCGTGGTGGAGCAAAGCCCTCACTTATTGGTGGCTGGAATGTGATGCCGGGGCAGAGAGAAAGAAGAGAGGGGCTGAGGTCCCCATGTCCCCTTCCAGGGAACCCCCAATGACCTAACTTCCTTCCTCTAGGACCCACATCCTGAAGACTCCACCAAATCCCAACAGTGCTGCAGGCTGGTTACCACCCTTTAGCATGGGGACTTGGGGGGACATTGAGAGCCAAGCCTTCACAGCAGCAGAGGCAAAAGGGGAGCCAGTGGAGAGAACCAAGCCCCCAGCACAGTGTCCGACATACAAGATGATGTGCTCAATGCGTGTTTGCAGATGAAATTTCATTTTGCTTTGTTTACTATGGTGAAAGTCTTTATTCTTAGCAGGTTTCAGGACCTCTTGCAACTTCTTGAATTAAGAACGTTTTGATAATACTCCAGAAAACCTCAGTGTATAAACAGACACATGACTCTAGGATCATATGGAAAAAAGACATGAAAATTTATTAGTGTGCAATTAATCAAAAGTCCAGACTGCTGAAGTGACAGTTTGGATTGTTTTGATGGGAGCCACAGACCGTCACATATTAATGTTCTAGGATAAAGTACAGGGCTGGCTTCATGCTTCTGAAGGATGAGGTAACCTCAATATCAATTCAAAACTCTGATCTAATTAAATCCAATAATAGGGAAACTGCCAGGTACTTTGGTCTGGGAAATTGATTTATTCCAGTGATTTTATAATCCAATGGAGAGCATTGTTCAGGTTTCTAAAAGAGGATCTTGAAATGGCATGAAAGACAGAGTATATATACATTGAGTATCATTTGAGGGACTATGTAATCACAACACTCCAGAGTACAAATTCCAGTTAAAGAAAACCTAATAACCTGTATCCTATTGGAAGGAATCTTCTCTGAACCAAAAATCCCTGAGAGCCAGCTGGACCTAGTACCAAGAACAGAGTAGATGACAGTATCAGCAAGGACCAGGCTGGGGACTAGAGTTCAAACAGCAGGGCATCTCTTCTGGTTTTGAGTCCCAGGTTAATATGTGACATCAAAAACTCAGCCACTTGCTTCCTCTCTTCCATTCCTTTATTTTTGTATTAGTCTGTTTTCAGTTGCTATAACAAAACAGGTTGGGGATATATAAAGAAAATAAATTTATTTAGCTCACATTCTTGGAGACTAAAAGTCCAAGATAGGTTAGACTCATCTATTCAGTTTCTGGTGAGGGACCTCTCGGCTAGGTCACATTATGGTAGATGTCATCACAAGGGAAGACTACATGACAAGACAGGAAGCCAGAGAGTGAGGAGGGGCCAGATTTGCTCTTTTAAGAAAACCCTCTAGAGAGAGTCAAGCTGGGTCCCATGAGAGTAACCTTGATCCCTCCTGAGGACAGTGAYACTGAGCCTCAGTTTCTGCCTCTGTAAGTCCTTCCAAGGTGCAAGCCTCTCTGATGAGACAATGCTCTGGCGATGGTCATTATGACTACAGTCCAGGGAGCAGGGCCGAGTCTCCGGCTCATGAACATGCAGAATGAGGACCCTGCTGGCCCTCTCATCCCGTTCCCAGATGACATTAAATCATCGTTGCAGACTGTTTTAAATTTTACTTGCATTATTTGTTGCATAAGAAATGCAAAGCTGTGGAGGACTGATGGGATACAAACCTTCAACAAGGCAATGTGATAATATGTCATCCTGTTGTTCAGGAATACCCAGTGCGGTGGCTGCTGGCGACACCACAAGTATGACCTGCAAATGACAGAGACAATGCTGAGTCCTGGGAAGGCTCCTGGCCTGGAGGACAGCAGCCACCTGTGGCAGGTTGGTAACACTGGACCTTCCAGTCATGGGTGGGACTAGAGGACAGACACATGTCCTCCCTACAGAATTATTCCCCCTGCCCATGACCCTCTGCCAACAACATCACCCATGCACTTAGGAGCACCTTCTCACCAACAAAGGATTCCACATAAAACTACGACTGACCAACTATCTTCTCTCCAGAATGTTTGCTCTGTACCTAGATATTAGTCCCCCTCCAAGAGGAACCAGCCACACAAGTCCTTCTTTGTAACCTCACTGGGGAGAGCACCCCCTGCTGGTTTGAAAGCCATCTCTAATTTGGAGTCTAATAAGAACCAGGATAAGAGAAACTATCTGGAAAGGATCCCAAGCCTCCCAGGCAGGTACTTTTTTATTCTGAAAAACCCACTTCATCAGGTCTTCAAATGACTGTCCCCTGACTTCCTGCAGCCTAGCTCCGTCCCCCTTTCCCTGGAGTGTATGTCATTCCCTGTTAGGGCAGAGGAACACATGCTCCCTGCCAGGCGAGAAGCTCCCTGGGAGTGAAGGAGAAGAGGCAACAGGACAT